AGGTGACAGAGGCGGAGCTGCTAGAGGAGCCGCAGGCTATTGGCAGACCTACTGCTGGCGTGTCTTCTGCTACACCGACGACTGCCGGAGAAGCCAGGAGCTTGGGGACGCCGCTCCTTGCTGATTTATTGACTGTTGGCAGACCTGCAGGTGTAGAACCAGCAGCGGTACCAGCCGCAGCGGCAGGCGCAGGCAGCGCAATTCCCGCAAGTGTGACGATTGCGGGAGAAACGGATACGGAGGCTGACCCGGAGCCTATTCGTGCTGCTAGAAAAAGACACCCGTTCGTGCGTCTGCCCACGCGAGCACCGGCGATTCCACACTATCTTTATATTGACTTTAAGGCCGCCGTTGGCAGTAGTCAGTCAAACCCTCGAAGCGCCGTGCGGTTGCTACGCCAGGTTCACGACCTGCTGGCGCAGCAGACTTTACTTGCTGAAGATATGGTTGAGTTAGTGGAGATAACAGAAGGGCTGGTATCTCATGCGGTGAGCCGTCAAGGTGCAGACCTATCGGAAATGGAGAATTTCCGCGCAGTTTCGCGGCTAGGGATCCGTTTCCTCGTGCTCGATGCTGTGGTCTCCGTGTTGATAGTTCTCGGGCAAAGCCCAAACCCTGACGATTGGGAGCGCTTCGTATCAACCATTAGCCACGCCATGCCCCGACATGCCGCAGGGCAAAAGTTTCGTGGGCAGGCCGCTTTCTTCGCAGAACTGACTGCGCAACTCTGCAGTGGAATACAGAAGCTCAAGAGGGGAAGGAGACCGGCCCCCGCAGACCTCCTAAAAGTAAAGCGGATGCTCTTCTGCTCCTCCTTCTCGCCTGCGTATTTCAAAGAAGGTTCATTTGACAAGTGGAGGCTAGACGACAGCAGTGCCACCGACGGGCCCTAGCTTCTTCCCCCAGGAGCATGAATTTTGCATGCACTTTAGGGAAGGACGTGGGAGGCTGCGGGAAAATACAAATTTGCGCTTTTGGAGGGAAAGCATGTGCGCTGTACCTGTCTTTCGTCGTCAGGAATCGGCGGCTAAGGTGAAGCGTTGGAACCCCTTTGAACGGGCTAAGTCGTAGAATTTCTAACGATTTCGTGCGGCACAAGCTTCTGGAGATTCAGAATTCAAAGATGCTCCCTTTCCCTAGTTGGAGCGCTCCCGCTCGGGTATGAGATGAGGAAAAACGGTGCAGGCAAAAGCGTCGGGCAACGGCGGCTCTAACTAAACTGTCGAGAAGTTGCTAGGTTCGGTGTCGAGCTAGAACAAATATCGTCTGATCTGTAACCCGACAGTTCTCTTATTGATGCATGCACTAACGCCGTAGACAGTTGCTAAACACCTTTTGTGGACAGCCGTCATGCATGTGAGCGTGCATGTATGAGGAAGACAGACCCTACAAAAGCCACCCAGTTGTTTAGACCTTGGACTTTCATGCATTCGGCAGTTTTGAACTTATGACAAAGAAGTGTTATTGGTCTCACAATAGTTCAACTAATATTTATACAACGAATTGGAGAATTCATAAAACTTTGCAGGCTTTGCATGCCCGTCCGCTTCTAGAGCACAACGGTAGCATGCGGCCGGCGACGATCGCTACATCATCGCTCGGCCCATTGGCAGACAATTCAGGGGTTCCCTGAGCCAGTTCTGCTGCACCGATCTGCACAATCTAGGATAAAGCACATGAATTAATTGTGGATTCTTGAATGAAGAGTTCAGTCTAAAAGAGTTGTCGAAACCAGACCCCACGTCACTCAAAACTGCCACCCACAATAGAACCAACTAACGGTGCGGGGGAGCCGGAATGAATCGAGCAAAACGCCACCTACAAAGCTTGAGATGCGGAAGGTAAAACCTGGCAAGTTGGCGAGAGAAGATTCTCTTTCTGAGTCTCCGCTGTATTCGTGCCTCCTGGGCCTACACAGAGCAGTGCACCCACAGCAGGCTGACTGGTCGAGCGAGGGCCCAAGGCCTTCTGCTTAATTGGGAATGGATTGCCGTTGCAGTCCTAATGATTCCTGACAACTTAAGTAAAATTGGCTCTCATTAGAGTTTTATCCATGTAAAGCACACTTATTTGCCTTAATGATGTGTGAATTCATTGCCCTGTCCATTGATTATCTGGTGAGAGATGGAAGCACGTGCAATTCCACTTCGCTTTTCCCTGGACGCCCCTGTCACTTAGCACAAGAAATGAGAATGAACCCACAGATGGGGTTTATAACAGAGACGCGGTGTTTTCCATTGAGTGTAACAGCAGCATATTCGTCGTTGGACGATTGCCCTGCTTACGTCGGGCAGATGCCTCTCTTCCCTTCCGACCTCAGCAAGGGGACTTAATGTTTTGCAGAAAGTAATATCGGCAATTCCATCGTTTGTGGAGAAGAAGCGATGTTTTTGAATAGGTCCATTAGCAGTGGGTCCTCGGGAGACAAACAAGTCGCAGCCATTGCAGGCAGAGAGATTCGCGGTCGCTTGCCATGCAGGGGATGGCGACGGATCAAGGTCTGGCCTTTGAAAGTATGCTGTGGTATAAGTTACACTTGAATTTTATTTGTTCTAGTCTTGGACTTAATGCTTTTGCTAATGTTTCCGCATCGCTGTACACTTCTTTGTGCTTGTGGAGCCCCTTAGCCATTTTACAACCAACAGCGCTTTATTGTTCTGTTGGAAATATTGCATGCATTCCTTTTGCTCTGAACTGGACTGATTTACTTCGAAAACGCAGCAAACTCGACAGCATTTATGGTCCAGCATCTCAACTTTACTTAGGTGGGCGGAGTAGGGGTCGGAGGTGTAGCTCCAGCCACAGCGGAAGCATACTGTTGTGGGCGGTTGCGAGCCTCATGGCTTCCACTTTCGCACCTTAGAATTTCTGCCAAATGCCAAAGCTGCACATTATTTCTAAGGGCAATGCAACTCCCATCTCTGCTCTGGCCTTCGCCTCTTCGGAGTTGCCAAAGGTGGGATCGATCTGTGCTCGACGGGGCAGCTTGAGACCGAAAGCCTGTCGTTCGGCTTCGTGTCTGCCTGTTGTCCTGGCAATCCTAGCCTCCGTCTCGGCAGTTGCTGTTCTTGTTTTTCGCTGTTCGCGCGTTTTTGAGAGGAGTGCAGTCCGGAGCCCTCAAAACCGCAGGCTGGCCAGCTTAGAAGCCAGCTTAGAAGAGAGAGATGCGTCACTAGATGCTTGCGGCATATCTGGTAACGAAGAGGAGCAGCAACAACGCCAGAGTCTGCATCGCCCCAGGTTGCGTGCTGGTGAGGAGTTGAAACTTCCTCTTAAAAAGAGGCTGTTGGTAAGTCTCCTTGAAACCAGCAAAAGTGGTGACGGCCCTAGTCCCCACCAGCAGCAGAGTCAGCGTGTCCGTGAACCCGTTGAATCTCAGTTTAATTCATCTGCAACTCATTCGGCTCGAAAGCCGGAGCCGCCTAAGCTCTCACTGCATCTGCTTCGCAGCCAGCTCTCTTCAGCGCATACGCGAAAGCCGACGCACCGCGATGCAGGCGCAGGACTGCTGATTCTCCCCCATCATCAGCATGCTGGGAGACATCCTGCTTCATCTGCAAAACAGACAGCCCCCCTGAAGGTATTGAAGGAGCAGCGAGGGCTGCGCCGACTGCAGCGGCAGCAGACGAGGGAGGGCGTTCACCATCAGCTGCAGCAGTTCCACCTCCAGCATCAGCAGGATCTGGATGAGAGTGTCCAGCAGCAGCAGCAGCAGCAATGGCACCTGTATGTGGGGAAAGATGATCGGGAGCTCCTGCAGTGGCAGCACGCGCAATGGCAGCACCTGACTTTGCAGTACCAACACCAGCAGCACGCGCTTCTGCGACAGCACGAGCTTCAACAGCCTTTTCTTCAACGGCCGCAGCAACACTATTTGAGTCCGCAACAGGAGCAGCTGCAAGTTTTGTTTCACCAGAAGCAGCAACACTACTTTCTTCAACAGCAGGAGCACCTGCACTTGATCCAACACAAGGAGCAGCAGCACCATTCCCGTGACCAGAGCCACCAGCAGCTAATGCAAGAGAAGAAGCAGCATGGGACTCAGCAGGACGAACGCTCACCGTCGCACGAGCAAACCAGGCGCAAACGGAAGCGGGAACAGAAAGAGGAGCCGGAACTGCTGGAGGAGCAACACACGCGGCCTTTGCAACCTGCCGATCCACTATCGGCGTATTTGGTAGAAGATCCATGGCTTCCTGGGGACTCCCCAAGGCGTCAGACGCCTCACCTCATTACCTCCGAACAGGCGTTGCAGTCTACTGCTGCTAGTGCAGCAGGAGGTCCCTCGATCTCTGAGGACACCAGCATGCAGGTGTTTCCGGGATTTCCACTGCCTCACCATGCCACCTCTACTCCAGCTGGTGCTGCAGGGGTTTCACATTATGAGGCTGTTGCAGTTGGTATGCCGCATGATGGCCCATCCTCTGCTGCGCTTACTACTGCAGGGCAAGGCCGGGCCATGAAGTTGCCGATCCTTTTAAGTTTTCTCACTGGCGACAATTCTAAAGGTGCAGGGACACCAACAGGATCCGGTATTCCTGCAACTGAACCGATTGAGGTAGTTGCCGAGCTGCCAGGGGACCCGGATTCTACTCCTGTTGCTATAAAAGAACATCCGTTCGTGCGGCTGCCCAAGCCAGCAGTGGAGGAGATTCCGCCTTCTATTTTGGTTGATTTCAAGCAAGCGGTGGCCAGTCGGTGCGGCGTGAAGAACCCGGTGCCGCTGCTGCAGAGGGCCCATGAGCTGCTGTCGCGGAGGTTTTTGTCTCTTACCCACCTGCACGAGTTGGCGCAACTAGCAAGAGCTCTGATAGCGCACGCGATGCATCATGGAGGTTTCGATATGTCAGGAACCAGATGCAGCTACGCAGTGGAACGGCTGGGACTACGTTTCCTCCTGCTAGATGTGGTGGTTTCCACCTTGATAGTTCTCAGGCAGACGCCGGATCCTGAAGATTGGGATCTTTTTACCAATTCCATTAGCCACGATGCACCCCCGCTGGTCCAGCAACAAACCAACGTAGGGCGACCGAATTTCTCCATTAATCGGGCTCAGGAGCTCAGCATGGCAATACGGACACTCAAGACGGGAAGGAGGCCGCAACCTGCAGAGCTCCTGCATATCAAGCGGATGCTCTTCTGCTTGCGGACCTCCCCAAGGAACTTCAGAACGAACGATTTCAATGCCTGGAGGGCGGATGACCACAGTCCCACATATGGGCTGTAGTTTCTTCAGTCGGAAGAGCGGATTCCTTGTGCACTGTGTTTGGGCTGTAGTTTCTTCAGTCGGAAGAACGGATTCCTTGCTCATTTTACTGTAGGAGACTTAGAAAACACAAATTTGCATTTCTTTTTGCTGCGGCTGCTTGCCTTCAACAGGCATCAGCTGCTAATATCTGACTCTTTCTAACAGGCTGACGGACATAATTACTAACAATTTCATCCAGAAGATGCCACAACAGGTATTGAACTCAAAATGAACTCTTTGCCCAGGTGGAGCGCTTCCAATTGAATACGAGCGTAGTGAAGAGACCCCAAAGTAGGTGTATTTCGAGGAAGGCGAAATGGAATGGTATGACACGGTAAGTTAAAGATAGAATAGGCAAGCAATCGATAGGGAGCTACACCAAGGCATTTCAGTCTCTGGCGGACAGAAGCCCAACGGTGGATACGGAGCTCCTAAATCAATACTTCACGGCAGGGCGGCAGAGAGGCGATCCTTGAAAGGCTGGACTGGCAGAGAGAAGCTAAGGGGTAGAAAGTTAGAACTAGTCGAGATGGAGTACCTGCGCTTCAAAGGGAGACGAAAGGCCACTTCCTCGTTTCAGCTTAGAAGCTAGAAAACGGCTTTGCGAATGACCTAGAGATACAGCCAATGGATGTTAAGGCTGTGAACGCCAGTGCTGCCCGGGAGGGCGAAAAATGTAGTTAACACAAAGCGGCCGGCGAATGCTGCACTTGGAACGCCGGGGGCGAGGCGTCTGGAGCGACAGATCTGCTATTAGGAAAGCCGCATCATCCGAGGTTGCAAGCGCATGGACAAGAACTACAGAGCGGCATACGAGGGGCATTGAGCAGCGGTATCAGGCGAGCAGACAGAGCAGCCAGAGAAAAGCCCTGGAGCCCACCCAACGTGCGAGGGAGTTGTGGGGCCAAAAGATGTGATAGGCTCACCGGAAAACCAGCCGCGAAACAGTTCTGTGCTTATCTGAATTCGTGTGCATGATCAGGGACGGCCAGCTCTACTTGCTATAGGCTGTGAAGTGAATATGATGTCTGGATCCACCGCTAGGAGTTGCAAACTGTTTTTCTATTCTTTGGCGCAGGCTCTGCTCCTACGTGTCCCCGACTGCAGGCAAGACACGACAAGCCATAATGAAGCTATGGGCGTAAAATGTGACCCCAATTAAGAACGGCCATATTTCCATGATATGCAAACTTCATGTCTTACCAGTTCTTAACTACAACATCATCCTAGCCATGCCGTGGGTGCCTCAGTGAAGGGCGCGAATGTGAGCTATTGGCCAAGCCATTGAGGCCCATATGCAGGGCAGCAAGGAGTGTACCTCTCGGCAGTTGCAACGGCATTTCCACCGCATACGGTTGGTTAAGTGCCCCAAGGGGAATTGAGCGAGGAGGCTCCTGCTCAATGCAGAGGCACTGCCGCGGATGACGGGAACACGCATGTAGTCGTGAAGGTCTACTAAGAGAGCCGCCTTGCGGGAGTTGACCCAGTTATCACCCGAAGAACAGCAGGATTAGTGTCGGTTGAAGGGAGAAGTATCGCATGTACAAAGTAGCAAGTAACTTCCAGCGGGCCCGCCACCGGCTTAACGCACAGGGCACTGGATATAACTCACTCGCAGAGTTGCATTCTTCTCGTTTTCTCAAAAATTTCAAGCAAGACGAAGGGCCAGCATTCTACCTCAACAAGAAATGCGTTGAATTCGAATTGTTGCGCCTCGATCAATCCTTGCTCAAACACTTTTAGAGGGAAACCCACACTTGTTCCGTTACCTCCACGGGGTTGGAATGCCGGAATGCCGCCCGGTCTAATGCGTGAGTACGCTATGTCCATAGCAGTGGCGGCTTGTGTACTGCACCGTTCAAGTCGGTACCCTAGCGGCCTGTTGACCATAAAAAGTAAAAATATAGTCTGGCTAGGAATGAATCAAGTAACATTAGATAGAAAAGAAACCTTGAGGCTAAGGCTGCTCGGAAAGGAGCCCAGGCTCTGGGTTGGCTGTGAGTTTTTGAAGTGCCACTGAGGGGCCGGGCCGACCAGCTATGGTGCCATGGGGGAGAATTCTATTCTTCCTGAGTTTTTCCTTTTAACGTGACGAGGATGTGTTTTGAAGGCTGCTAATTGTTATTTTAGGATAGTCTAGGGAATATTCCCCGAGAATAGCGATCGATATAAAGTGTGCACCTAAGTAGGCGTGTAAAGGGTCACATAGTAACCGCGCTGGAAGAGCTGTTCACTACAGCCTCGTTGCCCGCATCCATCCCGAAACATGCAGCTTTTCCAAGTGTAAGCAGACACCACGATCTTATCCGAGGACCGTCGTGAGCTGCAATCGAGCGAAAAGGCGTAGGGTGGGAGTTCCAGAAAAAGCAGGTGACCTTCTTTCCAGTCGCGAGCTGTTCTGCGCCTGGGTGTAACGGACAGGAGGTGACCTGAGACCAGTTGCAACGCGCTGCGTTACGGCATGCTGTAGGGCATCTTCACAGCCAAATTCCACTGTGCTGTCTGCATTAGCACTGTAAAGATTTGATGTATTTCTGCTCGTTTGCACGCTGCCTTCTAATGCCAAATAAGTGTTCGTGCACCAACTTCGGGAAGACCGTGCTGCAAGCGTTCCCTGACCACGACATTTGTGCCGCTGTGCCAACGACGCTTCGAGAACCATGGGGAGCCCAGCTGCAGTTGGGGGACTCCAATCCCGAGTCGACTATACTGAAGCTTACGAAGGTCCTCTGCTAAGATCGAGGGGTTTGTGCTACGCAAGCCGTCTGCCGTTGGTCGACTGCCTGGCTGACCGACAACAGCTGCAAATTTCGCGGCACCCCGTCCTCAGAGGGGTATTTAATAGTTTCCACTAAATGAAATTAACATCTTCACTCTTTTGGATGAGGATAAGGCGTTGTCGGCTTAGTCAATTACGAGTGGCAGTCAGGATAGGCTGCAATCTCTGTAGTGCCCGGCTCTCGCTCGCAGCTTGTACTACGTGTTACCCCATACCCCATTATTCGCCGGACTCAGCGAATCCTCTGTGAAATAACCTAAATGATCAAATATATGACCTTAAACTCAAGTCCAGTTGATCCATGTGTAAAAAGCAAAGCCGGAACAGAACTGACTGCTGCCTGCCCCCTCTCTGCAATTAGCCCTTCACGTACTACTCACTATGAGCTTACTGTTTCTACGCTTCCGAATCAACCCTTAACCGTCGTGTTGGCGGGTTTTGCGCTTATGCAGTTTAAAACTGGTCTAACTCTTACGCCTACAGGGATTGATTCCTTTTCTTTTTCGCTTCGATTTGACGCGTGCTCGAATGATTTAGCCACTTGTAGCTAGCATGTGTTCTCCTTTACGCTAGATTAGGAGGAACTACAGGCTGGTATTTTCAATATTATTGTTATTAGTATTGTGGGTAATGAATGAAATTACGGCCTGCCTATGCTAAGATACTAGCTGCGTAGGAACCTGCAACTGCAGATGCAAATTGATATACACGCTCCGTACCCCCATTTCACAGCAAGAAAGAGTGTCGACACGGCAGTCAGGGCGCAGCAAGAAACATGAGCTGCAGAGCATATCATACCTAGACACAGGATAACGTAGAATGGAGAAAAAGAGAGGAGGAAGCGCACTCAGGAGGGTCAGGGAAAGTCAGGTACGTTGTGTAGCTAGGGAGAGGGGGTTGTTAGGGTGGAATGGGAGTGGAAGGGAGGGAAGGGGGACTCCTGGCTTGTTGGCGTTGACGCTGGCAACGCCTCCAGGTCCGCACCAAACCTGGGCAACCGGCAAGGGGGTGAGCGGGTTCCCATGTGGCTCTGTCTTCCGGTGCGCCTCGCCATTTGACGAGGTACTGGGCGTCGCTGCCAGAGCCTCGCTGATGCAATCCACGACGTACTGACCCGTCGGATTGCCTGCGGCATCACGGTTGGGAGGCCATCCCACTACGGCTTCCTGGGGAATCAACTACAGAGCATGGGGGCAATGAGGGACTAGCTGTGGTACGTGGAAAACGTTGTGACATCCGTAGGTATGGGGGCAAAGCAAGGCAGTAAGCTGCCTCACCGCTTGCGTATGAACTTTAGAACATTGAAGGGGAGCTTCCTTACGAGTTAGGCCAACGACTATACGGGCGATCTCCGCGTAGTCGGGCCCCATGAACCTTCGGAATAACTGACAGTACTGAGGAACTGCTGCACTTGTGTCTCGTTCGCCCGCACATCTGGCCACAGCCGTATGCCTTCTATCTTATCTGCAGCAGGTTTAATGCCTTCGGCACTTATTGTATATCCCAGGCACGTGAGTTCTCGTCCAGCAAACTTGCACATGCGAAACTTCGGGTAGAACTGGTGTTTTAAAAAAGGTGCTTAGCAGTTGTTGCAGGAGGTCTGCGTGGCTGGGGAGGTCGGGGCTGTATACAAGAGCATCATTAAGGCACGCGATGATGCCCTGACCTAACAAGGGTTGTAGACAGGCACTGACGTTACGCTGAAGTGTAGCTGGGGCACCCTTAAGGCCGACGTCCATAACCGCGCACTCGAATAGTTCCATAACACAGCGGAAAGCCGTCATTTACCTATCTTCCCTGGCCGTGCGAACCTGATGAAATCCTGTCTCCAGGTCCAGAGCAAAAAATACCTAGCGCGTCCCAGCATCTCTAAAATAGTTTGTAAAGGAGGCACAGGGAAATCGGGGGCGATAGTAAGGCCATTCAAGGCTAGATAATTGACTACCATACGCATTTTTTGTTTGCCTCTACCATCATCCCTCATCCACCATAATAATGAGAGCGCAGATAGGAGAATAAATCGGTCCTATCCACCCGTTAATCGATAATCCAGCTACCGCATGTTTGTGAAAGTTTGGTTGATACGGTAGATAGCGGATTTAGCAGGTAGTTCCCCAGGCACTAGTAAGACAAGATGATCGTGTGGCCGCTTCGGCGGCAACCCCGCAAGCATGGCATCAGGGAAGACCTCTCGATGTCT